AAAAAAAAAAAAAAAAAAAAAAAAAAAAAAAAAAAAAAATATATATATATATATATATATAACTAATGAGAACATACTGTATAGCACAGGGAAGGCTACACAGTATGTTCTCAGTGCTCTGTGGTGACCCAAATGGGAAGGAAATCCAAAGAAGAGGGGATATGTATACATATGGCTGATTCACTTTGCGGTACAGCAGAATCCGACAGTCCAGCAATGTAAAGAAACTATACTCCAAATAAAAAGTGTTACTTATACTTTTTATTAAAACTTTATCCAGGGCTTCCCTGGTGGCGCAGTGGTTGAGAGTCCGCGTGCCGATGCAGGGGACACGGGTTCATGCCCCGGTCCGGGAGGATCCCACATGCCGCGGAACGGCTGGGCCCATGAGCCATGGCCGTTGAGCCTGTGCGTCCGGAGCCTGTGCTCCGCAACGGGAGAGGCCACAGCAGTGAGAGGCCCGCGTACCGCAAAAAAAAAAAAAAAACTTTATCCATAAAATAAGACTGTAATGATATATACTAAAAGGTTAATACCATGTTTTTTGAGTGGGATTAGAAATGATTTCCATTTTCTTCTTTTTGTCTGTATTCTCACATAGGCTTGATATTACCTTTGCAATAAATTATATTCAAAGAATAAGAACTGCCACACACAGACACACACCCAATTTCACCAATGAATTCAGGGGTTAAGTGTTGCTCAGACTGAGAATTACTGGTCTAGTCTCTCATCTCTGTGTTACGAGTGGGCTCCCTGAGGCCCAGAGTGGACACATTGTGGAGAAGGTCTGAATGGACTGAACAGAATCAGGTGGAAATGAATTCTGAAAAGGTCACCTGAAGGGCCTCTTCCTTTCAAGAGGTACCATGTGCTGACAGTTTTTTCTTACCCAGTCCTCTACTCCCTGACAAGAAATGTAAGGGGGTGAAGGACAACTGTCTGAGTCAAGTCACTGCCCCATGGCTGAATAGGAACTGAATATGGAAGTCATCTTATGATTCAAATAATTACAAAATTCACAAACCTTATAGCCAGTTTTTCAATTCTGATCCTTGTCTATGTAAGTCAAACAAACAAAAATTACATTTATTAGATTTTAAAGCCAGAAATCAATATATCACGACTTAATTGTCCACATCCAAAGAACTCGCCACCCATCTGGACTCTGTTTCTCCCTTGTACCTGCACTACTACATCTTTACATTTCATTAGGTTTATCTGTCTCCCTATTCCTTTCTCTGTGGCCATCTTTTTCTTCCCTCTCTGTTTCCTCCCTCACGCCAGTCCTGCCCCACTCTGCGACCTGTTTCCCCTCCTGTTGCTCTCTCCGCCCAACCTTTCTGACTGTCCTAAATACCCGTATCTTTCTGCATCTTTCTTCCCAATCTCGGCCCCCTCTCTCATCCCCTGGTTACGGCGTTTCCATCCCGGCCACAGTCCCCTCCGCCCCACTCTGTGGCACCACCAGGTGGCTGTACTTCCCATCGGCTCGCTCTTCCTCTGCTCTTCTAGTTCCTAGTTGTTCCTCTCTTCCTCTCCCAGAGCCACTTGGCTCTGAAGGCCAAGGTTCAAACTCCATTCTCTCCGGCCACTCTCTGCGTGAAGTGCCTCGCCACTGTATTGTCCTCCCTTCTACTGGTGATCCAGGGCCCCTCTTCCCACGCTGCAATGCCATGGGGTCTCCCCCATTCCCTCAACATCTCAGTTATTCCTACTTCTCTGTCAGTCGCTCCGTCTCTACTCCTCCCACTTCTCATCGCCCACGTGTTTCCAGAAATGGCGACAGAATAACATACCCGCCTACCGGAAAAGAGATATTTTCCAGCGGGTGGAATTCGGGAAGAAACAACACTGGGTGTCACACGGCTGGCCCAGGTCACCTCCCCCTTCGCGGGGTGAGGGGAAGGGCTGACTAGGAAGGGGAGGCCGGGGGAGCAGAAGTATTGGCCTTTGGAGACGCGAGGACAGAGGGGCGGGGAGGGAGGGAGGGGGTCTCAGGAGAGGGGCGGGCTCTCCAGAATCCCAGGTCCGGGGAGAGGACGCGGCCTGTCCGGGAGCGGGGCGGCTGGCGCTGCCCTCCAGGGGCCGCGAGGGCGAGGCTGGGGGCGCGAATCCACCTCGCGGAAGAGGACGTTACGGGGTGGGCCTGGGGGGGTGGTCACTGAAGGCTGGAAGCAGGAAAACGGCGCTAAAGACCGTGTCTACGTGGACTGAAGGCCGTAAAGCGAAGGGCAGGGACCAGCCTCAAAGCGATTTCAAGCCCAAAGGAAAACATACCCGACCTCTAACGGCGACGTCTGGATCTATTAGGTAGGAGGCCGGATGCTGGGATTTACAGTTCATAGTAACTCCGAAGCCAGTAGGTTGCAGTATGAGGTGCAGCGAAGCACAGATCTTCACTAGCGATGGGCAACTTACCTCTGCATCTTACCTCGTACCGCGACCTTCAAAACACGGCCCGTTTCCGGTTCCGCAGGTAACTACTAATTCGGGGGGAGAGGCGGAGCTCCCGGGGCGGGGCCTGGGCGGAGCGCTGTGTGCGAGGGGCGGGGCGAGGAGAGAGCCCAGATGCGGGGATGGCCAGAGGGCGGGGCTGGCAGCAGGGAGCAGGGCAGTCACTTTCATTAAAAACTAAGACGTTTCCTCTTAACTTAAAAACGGTTTAAATAAAAAGCTCCCCCACTCCGCCCCAAAACAGGTTGCTCTAAAGTCCCGTTAGTGAGGCTGAAGCAATTCAGAGCTCTGGAAACTTGGGTCTCCAAGTGGTAGCTGTGGGGCGGCGACTGGAGCCTGGAACATTTCCTGCAGTTAGAACTAATAAAAGCAATTCAGGAAACAAGAGCTGGACTTGTCTTTCTATTACAAACTAGAATGACAGAATTACAAAACTCTGGGTAGTATGGGCTTTTTCACACTGAAAACTCTACAGAACATTCTGTTTCTATTCCCTGCTCACTCAGGAGGCCAAACTCAACGCTCTGCTCTTTTCCAGACAATCAGGGACTAGACCTGAGGTCTGAGACTGGTGAACTAAGGCATGTGATAATTCAGGGCACTAACCGTTGCTATAAAAAGAGCAATAAATTGTAGTATTCTTTTTTAGGTAAATTTTTTGATTGTTTTGCTTCTTTTTGCCTTTTAAAACCTGCTTTCCCCCGGAGTATAATAGAGAAATACTTGAGATACATCACTATTCAGTAAAGATGTACCACAGAATTCTCTGACTTAACGTATCTTGTGAAAAGATTAGGACAGTAAGTTTAGTTAGCATCCAGCACTTCATATAGATACAATAAAAAGAGAAAGAGAAACGTTGTATTTCTTTGATGAGAAGGCATTATTCTTTAAAATACTTCTCCTATTCTACACTTAATAATTTCCTTCAAATATCTTTGAGAAAAACTTCTTTATATCATAGTACACTTAAGTCAAACATAACTAAAAATAATTTAATTGTAATTAGATTTTTATTTTGAAATTGTAACATATTTTAGCTGTTTCTTTTTTTTAATATTTATTTTTTAAACCTTACTTTATTTTTGGTTGCATTGCATCTTCATGGCTGCACATGGGCTTCCTCTAGCTGATGCAAGCAGGGGCTACTCTTCGTTGAGATGTGCAGGCTTCTCATTGCAGTGGCTTCTCTTGTTGTGGAGCACAGGCTCTAGGCACACAGGCTCAGTAGTTGTGGCTGACGGGCTCTAGAATGCAGGCTCAGTAGTTGTGTCTCGCAGGCTCTAGAGCGCAGGCTCAGTAGTTGTGGCACATGGGCTTAGCTGCTCAGTGGCATGTGAGATCTTCCCAGACCAGGGATCAAACCCGTGTCTCCTGCATTGGCAGGCGGATTCTTTTTTTTTTTCCCCCCATTGTTCAAGGTTTATTTATTGTTTTAGTTGGTATAACACTTAGATAGTTGGCTGCATTATTTATGTAGATTTTTCTTTTTTACATTACATGGCAGTGTATACTATTCTGATACATATAGTACATAAAATAAGATTCTTTAGAACAGTTATGCACAAGACATACAATACTGGATTTACAATCAATCCCAGAATGTGATTAATTGGAGAAAAAAAGTCGGATTAGGCATCTTGGCTAAAGGAACCACAAGTTATATAACACGAGTTAAATACACATCTGGTTTGAAGGGCAACTGCAGCATCTGCAACACTGTCAGTGGTACCACTTGAGGAAGTAGAACTATTTTGCACGAACCAATTTAGGAACACACAAGATAAGTGCCATGGAGCATCAGGATACAGCTGCAGGGTTTTATGAACCATTCCTATTGCTAATGTTAGGAAACTGATGTTTTTCCTAGGCTGTCTTAACATTACTGCTTTAGTCACCGATCAGATATAAAGGACAATATGCACAACCTTCAACTAAAATCCTGTTGTAGCCTAGACAGTGAAGTGGTATATTAGACTTTAAAACTGCAGCTCTTTCTGGATCCCCCAAAGTGTATCTGCACTCTTCTTCAAACAGGCCTGTTCCTCAGGAGTCAGAGTCACTTTCACAACACCCGAGATTCCATTCTGTCCCAAGATGCAAGGAACACTAAGGAACACATCCTCTTTTATTCCATAGAAACCCTTAATCATGGTGGGAATCGGATGTACCCGCCTAAGAGTCTTCATTATACTTTCTGCCAAATCTGCCATAGACAGTCCAATGGGCCAGGATGTGTATGTAGCCTGTCAGTCTGATCACCTCAAAAGCACTGTCAGCCACCTGTTTGTGAACTGCCTTCCACTGTTCCTTATCTGCATCAGTGCCTAATTCGGGGTGCAGATTCTTCAGGGAGACACCAGCAACATTCACTCCACTCCATACAGGCACACTAGAGTCTCCATGCTCCCCAAGGATCCACCCATGACAGCTTAATGGGTGAATTCCCAGCCTTTCCCCCATGAGGTAACAGAACCGGGCTGAATCCAAATTGCAACCGCTTCCAATAACACGGTTTTTGGGAAAGCTGCTTATCTTCCAAGCTGCACAGGTCAAGGTATCCACTGGATTGGAAACAACAAGCAACTTGCAGTTTGGGCTGTATTTTACAATATCAGGAATGATGAATTTAAAGATGTTCACATTACACTGGACCAAATTAAGACGGCTTTCTCCCTCTTGCTGGCATGCCCCAGCTGTGATAATAACCAGCCTGGAGTTTGTTGTCACATTACAGTCTTTGCCAGAGACGATTTCTGGTGTTCTAAGGAAAAAGCTGCCATGTTGGAGATCCATCATCTCTCCCTTCAGTTTGTCTTCTATGACATCAACAAGAGCAATTTCATCTGCCAAGTCCTTCATTAAGATACTGATGGCACAGGCCATGCCAACAACACCAACCACTGTAATCTTATTCTGGGGGACATGTTCTTCCTTAATAAGATTCTGAATCAGCTGATCCTTGAGAGTTGCCATATTGGACTTAGAACCGAAAGGAATCAGGAGTGCACGTCGGGTGGGCTGGACTCCGAATTGGCGGTAGCTGCTCGGGTACTCCGAGTGGGGAGCAGGAGGGGCCTTAAATAGAACCGCGAGGCTGACGTCAGGGGGGAGCCGGGCAGACGTGCGGGAACCCACCGGCAGGCGGATTCTTAACCACTGCGCCACCAGGGAAGCCCTAATTTTGATTGTCCGATTGATTGATTTGGTTGTGCCAGATCTTCAGTTGCAGCAACTCCTTAGTTGCGGCTTGCAGGTTCCTTAGTTGTGGCATGCAAACTCTTAGTTGAAGCATATATGTGGGGTCTAGTTCCCTGAGCAGGGATCGAACCCGGGCCGCCTGCATTGGAAGCGCAGAGTATTAACCACTCTGCCACCAAGGAAGTCCCTAGGTCTTTGTTTCTATTTCTGAAAGTTCTGTTATGTGTGGATGAGAAAGCCTGTAAAGTATACAGTCTTCAGAGGAAATTAAGATTAGTTTCATCTAAAGACTAATCATTTTTACAATGTTTTAAGGGCATTTTATAGGGGGATATATTCTCTTTAATACAAACCCTAAAGAAATTAAAACTAGGTTATCAGCTATGCAAAAACTTCATTTCAACCCTCGATATATTTATGGAAATAACTGTTTGATAACACCTACAATGTATGTTTTATTACACGCCTACATGATATTTACATAGGGAAATAACCTAATTACAATATTTTCAGGTAAACGAATAACCTGCCACAATTCACCCTTGTGAAACAGATCATTTGAGTAAATACTTTGAATTACAGACTTTTTTTTTTTTTTTTTTGCGGTACGCGGGCCTCTCACTGTTGTGGCCTCTCCCGTTGCGGAGCACAGGCTCCGGACGCGCAGGCCCAGCGGCCATGGCTCACGGGCCCAGCCGCTCCGCGGCATGTGGGATCTTCCCGGACCGGGGCACGAACCCGTGTCCCCTGCATCGGCAGGCGGACTCTCAACCACTGCGCCACCAGGGAAGCCCCCAGACTACATTTTTAATTTGAAAATCGCCACCACCCAGAAAACAAATCTAAAATCACAGATGATGGCCAGGAGAGGCTAGGTAAAGTACTCCATAATGCGGTGATCTCAGCATTTATTTGGTGTAGGCAACTGGCCAACAGGGATCTCGATCTGACTCGAGCCTTTCCCCTGACAACACATCCTATGGAACAGCCCACAGAGCCACAGCAAGTTTAAGTTCCTGTTATGACTGACTCCCCCAGCTGCCCTTGTGATAACCATTTTCCCCTGTCACCCAAGGCTTTCGCCTGGTTCTTCTTTGGATGAGACATGCTTCCAACAAGGAAGCCTACCAATTCCTGTTTTTTTGGTTTGCACTGACAAAGGCAGCCTGACCCAAGAAGCCAAAACGTTTCATCCATGGACCCTAATGAAGGTACATGCCTCAGGGCATGCCCCATGCTCTCTGCCTGCACCCTTCCTTGAATTCTGACGTGCTCCCTCCAGCTGTATCTTGGACCTCCTCCAGGACCTGTGAGTAATAAACACCTCCACCTCACGTTCCCTTGCAGTCTTTTACTGAGTTGCGGCTCAACCATCGGTATGAAGAGGCTCTCGTTAACACATGCTAGATTTAAAAAGTCACAAGAGGGATATTAGACAATTCTATCAAATGTATGAAGAATAATGAACAGTAATTCTATACAATTATATTGTTCCTTGTTCTCTGTCGTGTGTGTGTGTGTGTGTGTGTGTGTTTGTGTGTGTGTACACTCGAAGGTTTCACACAGGTAGGGAGAGGACAGTAGAGGAACCAGCACTGGCCTGGCAGTAAGAAAGTAGCAGCTACAGCTTCCCAAGAATGTGCCTCTGTACCACTGATCACTGTAGTGTTGCTGGCCCTCTGATTTTTGGAATAAATTTTCCCTACATCCAAGAAGTTACTGGCCTCTCTCAAATTGTGTCCACTGACACATACCTACCAGAATCTATCTAATGAAAACATACTGCCATTTGAAGTTTATACTCATGATTTCCTTTCAGGATTCAAATGAACTTACAAACTCTCATGGGGTCCAACACAGCCTCCATACAACCCAAAATGATCCACTCCATCCAGCTATAAAATACCAGAAAACATTCCAAACTCTTAAGAAATCATGCCTGAGGAAAAAATACATATGAAGACACCTAAGGAAACACTACATGCAAAACACCATATTTTCATTCCTAGTGACCACAGACCAAACACTGTCATCTCCAAAAACTACATAAAAGAGATGTATCCAGTGATGCACATGCCACAGAGAGGCCCCACCATTTCCCAAGGAAACACTCCAAATTCTCTTTCTTACCTTTTGTATCAGTGCATCTGAAACTTTATTTGCAACACAAAATACTAAAAAATACAAAAGGTAACCCGCAAAATGATCTCTGAACTTTTCCCTATATTACTCTAAAAATAGCACAGTGATTCCCTCCCCATGCCCGCCCCTGGACAAGGAAGGATTTATTACTTGCAGCAATTAATAACGACACCAGAGTTCTTTCCCAAAGCAGTGCCCCTGTACAATGATCCTTGATCTCCCAAAAGACCGACACAAGTCACTTGTGGAGTGGATGCTGTAGGGCACCCTCTAGCTCCATCGCCTGAGGACAAGGCACCCATCCTCCTGCACTGAAGGATTCCTGCAGGCTCAGCTCAGGGAACACATCTAACATTGGAGAAAAAATGTTTTTCTCTGCCTAAATCCACTGCCTTCTTTCTTCCCGAGGTATGACCATGAAATATCCGAATAAACAAATGCACGTAAACCTCAGTGTCAGCAGCTATGTCCCAGGGAACCTGAGCTAAGACACTACGGCTCCTCAAACCATGCAACGCCCCCCACAACTACCCATAAACCCAATTCCAGGTGCTCCAGCCAGAAGTGAGACACCCTTCGCCAACAGCTCCACACACCCTTTGAGCCCACAAGGGACAGGTGCACACATCTTGATGCCCCGACTTGCGGCCATGTCTCTGCTGCAGAGCCCTACAGGCTTCCCTCCGATTTCCCCAATTTTCTACCTGTTCCCAAAGCACTCATGGGCAAACAAGGCTGAAAGACACAAGGACTTCTCAGTAAAGCCATCACAACAGGAATACACACAAAGTGCCACCTAAAGGACACTGGCCATTCAGGATGAAGGTTAAGAAGTCGGCCCTCCTGGGAGAACTGACCCGCAACTGGGGTTGTTATGAAGTCCAGTGACAAAGGCATTTGAGTATAGTGAGGAAATCTCCAAGACAGACGGTTCCCAGGGTTTTTATCTCCTGTTCTCCCCACTCACAGGTAATTACAAGATACCCTAGCTCATTGAGGGGGGCCTCCTACATGCCCCCTTAGGTTCCCAACATCTGCAGCCTTAGCACAGGGAAATCACTATTGCTGACTCTGTGTAGATGACCTGCCGGAAGGCAAAGCTCCTGTCCAAGGTGGTGACTGGTCCCTGGATGTGCACACCTGGAACACCTGGGGGCTACAGTAAAGCAGTGACAGAGCACACAAAACATGGGGACAACTCAGGACACTGCATGAGGACACCAGTTCTGTAGGGCTTTTTAGGACTGCCTACATCTTTTCCTCCCATCCTGGGAGGAAGAGAAACACGGTGCACCCTTCAACGAATGGAAAAGGGGAGACTCCAAATGATCAATGGAGAAAGGCATTTCTGATGAGGGGGGTTGATACAGGGGCAATAAACTCTGGTGAATGTGACAGAGACTGGCTGGAGGGGATGGTGGGGACCTCTCAGAACCTAGAACTGAAGGAGGACAAAGGGCCTGAGCCATGGTAACTTAAAGGCAAAAGGTTAAAACAGGAACTAAGATCTGACACAGAAAAGGCACCCCAGGAAGGACCCTGAGTCAGACCAAAAATGGAGCAAGCCAGATGACTGGCCAGAGACAACCCGGAAACTAACCCCACGACCATCAACCTGAGACTGAGAGCCACATGACAGAGCCGTCCTCCTGGGGTCCCTTACCCTGCTGCTCTTCACTCAGGCACCCCTTCCCAACAAAGTCTTTTGCTTTGTCAGTACGTGTGTCTCCTCGGACAATTCGTTTCCGAGTGTTAGACAAGGGCCCACTCTTGGGTCCTGGAAGGGGTCTTCCTTCCTGCATCAAAAGTATGAACGCTACACATGCACATTTTTACCAAGTGGGTTGAACACACTAAAATTAATCCAGAATTACAGTGGCCATTATGACTATCATTCCACCTCCCAACACTCGTTTTCCTTAAGACTAAATCTGAAGACTGCAGTTCTAAAATTAAACAAGACGAATGGTATATTTATTTTCATGGGTACCTGGAAGCTTCCAAACAGGAACAAAATTCTAAAATTGCCTCTTCGCGAAACACTTTCTGAACTGACCAAACCAACCAAAAAGCTAGAAATGAACAAAATAGCTTCTGAAGCCTTATGCTGTGAGTGTTTTCCTCCCCCAACTTGACAACTTGTGTGTTTTCTCAGAACCCTTTGTTTCAGACTCCACCATACAACAGTGGGAACCTTAGCAGGGCAGGAAGGATTCAGCACAGTAAACTCTTACACAGAGACCAGCAAGGCAGTTTTCCCACACTTTCCTTCAAGTCACTGTGGTCTCTGGTGAGACCCTCAGCTGGACCCGACAATCCCCTCCAGGTCACAGACCAGCCCTGATCCATCCCCACGCAGAGCAGAGTCCCCTCACCCTCAGCCCAGATCTCAGCCCTCAGGAATGGGGGACTCAGTCATGATGCTCAATGGTACATACAGATTAGAACATACAGGAGATCCTTAATATTATTTATTAAAGTTGGGCCCCACCCTGATAATACGAAAGAGGATCTCTGGTCAGGGGGCACACATGTATTTACAAAATGCCTCATCCATCTAACGTGAAGACTGCATTGAGCACCGACGGACAAACTGATAATGAAAATGTAGTCTATATATATAGAATGCAATATTGCTCAGAAATGTTGCCATTTGCAACAACACAGATGGCTCTAGAACGTACTACGCTAAGTGAAAAAAGTCAGACAAAAACAAGTACCACACGGTTTCACTTATATATGGCATTTAAAAAAAAAAGTGGAATACAATGAAGAGAGACTGGTAGAACAAACATATGATTTTGAGAAAGGGGTAAAGGGGTGAGATAAGAGGGGCATATTTCAGGGACTTCCCTGGTGGTCCAGTGGCTAAGACTCCATGCTTCCACTGCAGGGGGTTCGGTTTAGATCTCTGGTCAGGGAACTAAGATCCTACATGCCAGGCGGTATGGCCAAAAGAAAAAAAAAAAAGTTAAGAGGATCACATTTAAAACTGCACAATAGATAGGTCACAGTGATGTAATATACAGCATAAAGAATATGGTCAATAACGTCATAATAATTTTGTTTGGGGACAAGATGGCTACTAGACTCATTGTGGTGATCATTTCATAATGTATACAAATATTAAAACAGCATATAGTGCACCTGAAACATTATATTGTACATCACCTATATTCCAATTAAAAATAAAAAGAGAGGGAATTCCCTGGTGGTCCAGTGGTTAGGACTCGGCGCTTTCACTGCTGAGGGCCCGGGTTCAATACCCGGTTGGGGAACTAAGATCCCACAGGCCATGCAGTATGGCCAAAAAAAAACAAAAAAAAATTTTTTTTTAAATGAAAACAAACTCCACTGTGGAGAGATACCATATAAAACTAATGTATGCGGCAAAGCCAGGAACCAGGGCTCATACCTCACTTGGTATCAGAATATACATTTTTGAGAAAAAAACACACAAATATATGGCAAAGCTGATCCAAATTTTAAGCCTTCTGGAACATAATAGAATTCTTTCCAGAAATCTGACACATGTAATGAGTGTGATCAACTTTGTAAACAATACACAGCTTTGTGGTCATGGAAGTATTCATATAATATGGAAACGGTACAAGTGGGTCAAGGCTTTTCAGCAATTACCTCAGCATACGCCACGAAGAATTCATACTAGAAAGAAATGACAAACGTAATGGAGATAAATGTTCAAACAATGCTCTCAATGGACTTGACGCTAAGAAAGTTTACACTCAGGGGAACTAGGTTCATTACTTATGAAGATCAACCAAAAAAAAAAAAAGATTAAGAAGATCAACCAGGATCAGATAGGACTCGGTGCTTTCACTGCCATGGCCTGGGTTCAATCCCTGGTCAGGGAACTAAGATCCTGCAAGCAGCATGGAACAACAGGAAGAAAAAAAAAAAAGGCTACTTAAAAAAAATAATAAAACTAGAGACTGTAATACAGAGTGAAGTCAGAAGGAGAAAAACAAATACCGTGTATTAACGCATATATGTGGAACCTAGAAAAATGGTACAGATGAACCGGTTTGCAGGACAGAGATAGAGACACAGATGTAGAGAACAAATGTATGGACACCAAGGGGGGAAAGTGACGGGGGGAGGGTGGTGGTGGTGTGATGAATTGGGAGATCGCGATTGATATGTATACACTAATATGTATAAAATGGACAACTAATAAGAACCTGCTGTATAAAAAAAAAAACTCACGAGATGGTGTCTATCAATGAAGCAAGGATACCTGTGGAAAAGTCTAATTATCTGCATATTATTATATGTTTTTATTCAATTATTTGAAGTTTCTTGAAAACGGTGTATTCTTATTAACGACCTATAACCTGAAGTTTGAAATCTGCTGTTATTCTTTCGTTACTCGCTATTCTTTTATCACCATGATGGTTTTAGGGAAGGGATGGGTAAGATGAAAGGACCTACTTCATTAGGTGGGATTTATTCATATCCAGATTACTGTGAAAAACTAGGACACTCACTTTAAGGTGCAATGTTATAAATAAACTTGACAGCATGGGGAGGGGCAGAGTATAGATATAAAACTATTATCTAAAATATAGTGCTTTTTGCGGTCATTGCCCCTTCTCTAGATTTGCTATGACTGAGGGCTATTGTTGATGATTATAGGAAAGGGTTACCCTACCAGATGATTGTGAAACACAGTACAACTGGACACTGAGAGAATGAAGTTTTCATATGAGTATCATGATGGCAGAAAAAATGGAGGGGAACAATGGTCTTCTGTCCTCTTAAAAGGGAATAGCTGTTGTATATCATTTATGAAATCATTAATGAAAATTATGAAATTAGTATTTCATAATTCATATGAAATATTATAACTTCATATGAATATGAATATTCATATGAATATTCATATAATATAATATAAATTATAATATTATAATTCATAATACTAATGAAAATTAGTATTATTTCTAGACACTGAAGACATGGTGTTACAGAAGATAGTTTAATGAAAGGAACTAGAGTAAAGCATGCTTGTGAGGGATTCAAAAATTAATGTAATCTTTCCTTTATAATCCTGAATGAGTCATAAGCTTTCTATTGGCCCCAGAGTATCCCACCTCTTTGGGGCACTTCATAATACGTCGTTAGGCTCTCTAGGTTGAGGGGCATCTAAACAATTTCTTTCCATGTTATATATAAAACGACATTCAACTTTGGAAATACATATTCATAATCTGCATTTGACTTATGAACTCCAAAGTGTATCCCTGATTATTTCTGGGACTACTATGAAAATACCAAGTCGGTGAAACTTCAGATTCAAGCTCCCTACAAACTGTCTCTCCCTACCTGAATATACACAAGATTATATTTTTACATGCCTTTTTTAGTGCTGAAGTTAGACCCATGGTTTGCATATCTACATGAAATGAAAATAGAAATATAGTAAGCATATGAAAACTATGAGGAAATAAAAGAACATTTCATAAATAAGGATTAAAAGGACACAATCTATCTTTTGTGTTGCAGTGCTCAGAGAAATAACCGGAAAAGATCAAGGTTCATGAGTTTCCTCTAAGAATGAACATACACAATGGGATTTATAAACTATAAATTTCACGTATGCACTCTCCAATATATTTGCTGGGGGTTTTTTTAGGATTTTTTAAAAGGGTATTTTTTTTAAAATACATTTATTTATTTATTTTTGACTGCGTTGGGTCTTCGTTGCTGCGTGCGGGCTTCTCATTGCGGTGGCTTCTCTTGTGGAGCATGCGCTCTAGGCATGCAGGCTTCAGTAGTTGTGGTGCACAGGCTTAGTAGTTGTGGCTCGCAGGCTTTAGAGCACAGGCTCAGTAGTTGGGGCGCACAGGATTAGTTGCTCTGCAGAACTGGGATCTTCCCGGACCAGGGCTTGAACCCATGTCCCCTGAACTGGCAGGCAAATTCTTACCCACTGCGCCACCAGGGAAGCCCTATTTGTTGTTAATTACTTTTGCTTTTTTTTTTTTTAATTAATGAATTTATTTATTTATTTTGGGCTGCGATGGGTCTTCATTGCTGCGTGGCTTTCTCTAGTCTCTGAGTGGGGGCTACTCTTTGTTGCGGTGCCCAGGCTTCTCATTGCGGTGGCTTCTCTTGTTGCAGAGCTCCGGCTCTAGGCACGCAGGCTTCAGTAGTTGAGGCTCGTGGGCTCTAGAGCACAGGCTCAGTGGTTGTGGCTCACGGGCTTAGTTACTCCGCGTCAGGTGGGATCTTCCCGGGCCAGGGCTCGAACCCATGTCCCCTGCATTGGCAGGCGGATTCTTAACCACTGCACCACCAGGGAAGTCCCTGCACTTTTGCTTTCTCTGCTGGAAAAAGATGGAACCCCACACAAAGTTTAGTTTGGAGGGCTTTCTGTGGAGACCAGGGTGGACCAAGTTGTTCCCAAAATGGCTAGAGAAAGCAGAGCACAGAATGGTGATGTTCTTGCGTTACGGTGGATACAAGACTGGGCTGTGGTGATGGTACTTGCTTGTGGTGTAAACCCACAAGTCCTGCCAAGGGATGGAGCGCTCAGGCTTTATTATCAGCCTGCCCTGATAACATGGGCAGAAGAAGAAGAGCTTGTACCGAGTCACAAGGTGTCTGTAGTCAGACCTCAAAAATGGAGTCAGACTCACAATGTTTTGGATTCATTTTGTACTTCTACCTTCCTGAACAGCAAGAGCATAAATCTATGTTGATTTAAGGCATTTAGTTTGTGGTAAGTTGTTACAGCAGAAATAGAAATTTTAAAGAAATGATGTATATGGAAAATCAAAAGAATCTACAGGGCTTCCCTGGTGGTGCAGTGGTTGAGAGTCCGCCTGCCAATGCAGGGGAACGGGTTCGTGCCCCGGTCCGGGAAGATCCCACATGCCGTGGAGTGGCTGGGCCCGTGAGCCATGGCCGCTGAGCTTGCGCGTCCGGAGCCTGTGCTCCGCAACGGGAGAGGCCACAACAGTGAGAGGCCCACGTACAGCAAAAAAAAAAAAAAAAAAAGATCTACAGAAATTTCTAGAAAGCGTATACGATGCAAGGTGTCAGGATACAAGTACACCATGCAAAAATTTATTGAAATTTTATATAGTAGCAATTTACAAATGAATACTGAAATTAAAAATGTAGTATCTTCTTTAAATGCTCAGAAAAGTAAAACTAGAAGAAAAATGTGTAAATCTAACAAAACATGGACTTTTATATGAAAAACTACAGTGGTCTGAAAGAAATCAAAGATGACATTTAATTTAAGTCATTTTGGAGAAACACACCACAGTGAATTGCTAGAGAAACACAGCATATTCATTGAAGGTAAGACACAACATAGAAATGATGACAAATCACCTCAAATTGACATACAGGTTTAATGCATTTCTCCACAAAATTTTTGAAGATACAAACAAGATTTTTCTAAAATAAATATGGAAGGCAAAAGAAATAGAAGAGCTGATATATCTGAAAAATACTCTGTGGGCAAAAAATATATCTGAAGTGGTTGCAATCACTCCACACAATAACAAGATTTATAATACAGTGACAGTAATCAAGACTGTGTGGGATTTGTCGAGTGACAGACACACAGACCAACAGAACAGAATGAGGAAACCAGAAACAGCCCTACAGGAGTACAGCGTACCCTTGAACAACACGGGTTTAAGCTGTGTGGATTCACTTATAAGTGCATGTTTCCAAAAACACACTATCACAGTACTACAAGGTCACAACTCGGTTGAATCCAAGGATGCAGAACCACAGATATGGAGGGCCAATACTAAGTTACACGTGGATTTTTGACCACTCGGGACTCAACACCTCTAACTCACTGCACTGTTCAAGGGCCACTCTACTTCCGACAGATTTTTTACTAAGGTACCAAGGCAATTCAATAAACGAAGGATTTTCAAAAACTGGTAGTAATCAATAACATGTTCACAATGGGGGAAAAAACTCCATTTAAACTTCACACGTGTACAAATATTAGCTCAAAGGTAATCACTGGTTTAAAGGTAAAATTATAAAACTAAACAAAAAGACATTTAGTAAAAACACTGCAGAATAAAATTTTGATACCCTATGGATAACTGCTCTTCTAAAAAATTGCTTACATATATTATCTGGTAAACATTTCCAAACATTAATTTTTTTACTGAAGTATAGTTGATTTAAAACATTCTGTTAGTTTCTGCTGTACAGCAAAGTGACTTAGTTATACACATATATACACTCTTTTTAATATTCTTTTCCATTATGGTTTATTCCAGGAGACTGAATATAATTCCTTGTCCAAACATTAATTTTTATTAACCTAGGGTAAAAACACCTTGGGCAATTGATTTAAACAGTGTTTTACAAGCATTTTCAAAAACCATATTGCACAATGGAACATACGTGTGCCTCAGGTAAAGAAATGTAATAAATTATTAGCATGAAGAAAACTGTATTGTTTCCTAATCAAGAAATCAGGAGTTTCAAGAGTAAACATTCGGGGCTTCCCTGGTGGCGCAGTTGTTGAGAGTCCGCCTGCCGATGCAGGGGACACAGGTTCGTGCCCCGGTCCGGGAAGATCCCACATGCCCTGGAGCGGCTGGGCCCATGGGCCATGGCCGCTGAGCCTGCGCATCCGGAGCCTGTGCTCCGCAACGGAAGAGGCCACAACAGTGAGAGGCCCGCGTACCGCAAAAAAAAAAAAAAGAGTAAACATTCGCTGTTTTGTTAAACAGTCTGAATCCATTTTATGACGTTGGACTACTGACAGCTTTAGGCAGCAGGACAACCTCTTCCTATTCTGCCTATGTGGGCAAACTAATTAAAAAAAAAAAACAAAAAACCTGAGGACTCCCTCCTTTGATACAAACTGAAAGTTCAAATCTCATCAAGTGATCTCCTTAACACACGAAGCCATTGACCATTCCCTGTTCTCTTCAACCATTTTTTGAACACCTTGGAAGTCTCCACCCTTCCCATAGAAAGCTGAATTATATAACAAACATTCTCATAACACTTCCATATAAATATCAGTCTCAATAACAAAACCAAATTCTGTGTGGGGTTCCACCCTATTCCACTGAATGGTCACAAGTGCAAACCAGCATCAACAAAAACATGTCTTAAGGGTGAATACATGAAATTTCTAGTTTATCCACCAAACAAAAATGTCCCCATTGTATGTGGTTCATTTTGAAGAGAAGACTCATGAACGTAGAGCCCTAAAAATTATTTCACTGAGCACAATAAAGGAAAAATGTGATATTACATGATCTTTTAATTTTTCTATTTTGCATATGCTTACTATTTTCCTAGTTTCTCTCCATCTAAATCAAGGTGCATACCATGACGTTTATTTAGACACATAAAAGAACAAGAAAAAATACATTCATATACTGCATACTCAAGAATGGGGAGCAGGTATTAAGGAGTGTTTTAAAAACTAGCATTCCCAAGGTAGGGTAATGCTGTAATGTTCTGTTCAGTACGTACTGTCTGATGATTAGTAGGATGTGAGCCCCAAGTGAAGGTTTTCCACATTCACACATTCATGAGGTAATCTCCAGAATGAATTCTTTGGTGAATACATTCCTTGTCAAAAGGCCAGGCCACAATAATTACAATTATTGGTTTCAATCAGGAATGAAATTTCTAATAAAGCCTAAGATGGGGACACCTGCTAAAAGCCTCGTCACATCACTACATTATTAAAGTCTCTCACCAATATGGATTGCCTGATGGCATTAAGTCAGGCTTGAAAGCACACTAAAGAATTTGACATGCTCATTACATGTGTAAGACTGCTGACCATTATGAATTCTCCGAAGACTTGGAAGGGCTGAACTCTGACGAAAGACCTTGCCACACTCATTGCATTGGTAAGCCTTCTCACCATTATGAATTCTCTGATGACGTACAAGGTTTGCATTTTGACTAAACACTTTGCCACAATCATTACTCTTGTAATTTGCTCTGTTATGTATTTTCCAATGAATTTGAAGTTGGGGTTTTTGACTAAAGACCTTGGCACACGCATTACATTTGTAAGGTTTCTCTGCAATATGAATTTCTTGATGCCTTGTAAGGGTTGTCTTCTCACAAAAGACCCTGCCACACTCATGACATCTGTAAGGTTTCTCTCCAGTAAGAATTCTCTGAAGTGCAAGGACTGCATTTCCATTAAAGACTCTGCCACACACATCACATTTATATGGTTTGGATCCTGTACGGATTATCTGATGATGCCAGAGAGTTAAGCCATGATGAAAAGTTTTGCCACACACATTACGTGTGTAAGGTTTCTCTTCAGTATGAATTCTCCGATGAATTGCAAGGTATGAATTTTAACCAAAGACCTTGCCGCATACATCACAATTATGTAATTTCTCTCCTGTACGGATTATCTGATGCCTACTGAGGTATGAGCCCTGATGAGGGGTTTTAGCCACACTCATTACATTTGTAAGATTACTATTATGAACTGTTGGATGACTTGCAAGGTTTGTGTTTTGACTAAAGACTGGGACACACTCATTACATTTTTAAGGTTTCTCTCCAGTATGAATTTCCTGATGAAGTCCAAGGACTGCATTTTGATGAAAGACTGTCACATACGTCATATTTATATGGTTTTGCTACTCGATGGATTATGTCATGCCTACTGATGCCTGCGGAAGAAAGAAAGATTTTCCCACAGACACTACGTTCTCCACAGTATGAATTCTCTGATGAGTTACAAGGTCTGGATTTTGACTAAAGACCTTGGCGCACACATCACATTTATGTAATTTCTCTGCTGTATGGATTATCCGATGTCGAGTGAGGGTTGAGCTCTGATTAAAGGTTTTACCACAGTCATTACACTTGTAAGGTTTCTCTCCAGTATGAATTCTCTGATGAACTGAAAGCTTTCTTTTCTGACTAAAGACCTTGCCACACTCGTTACATTCATAAGGTTTCTCTCCAGTATGAACTCTTTGATGAATTACAAGGTCTGAATTTTGACTAAAGACCTTGTCACATACATCACATTTATGTAATTTCTCTCCTGTATGGATTATCCGATGTCGAGTGAGGATTGAGCTCTGATTAAAGGTTTTACCACACTCATTACATTTGTAAGGTTTCTCTCCAGTATGAATTCTCTGATGAACTGAAAGCTTTCCTTTTGTACTAAAGACCTTGCCACACTCATTACATTTGTAAGGTTTCTCTCCAGTATGAATTCTTTGATGAATTACAAGATCTGAATTTCGGCTAAAGACCTTGTCACATACATCACATTTATGTAATTTCTCTCCTATATGGATTCTCTGATGACTCCTGAGATTTGAGCCCTGATGAAACGTTTTGCCATACTCATTGTAAGGTATTTCCCTGTGTGGGCTCTGGTCTTGTGTCAGTATTGAAGGATGCATAAAATATATATTAGAAATGTTGGTTTGGACAGGAGGAGAAATTCCTTCAACTGGCGAAAATGAGGAAATACTGCTGATACTCTTCTTAGCTTTACTAAAATCATCAATTTTCTGTTTACTTTTAAACATATGCAGTTCATCCTGAAGGCTTAACACAAGTCTCTTTCCAATATGGTTGTTTCCCACATCCCTTCCACCATGTTGACTTCTTCTATCAGTGACATTTTGGTTATGGGATGTAGGGATATTTCTGTAATTCCTTTCATCATGTCTCCACTGAAATCCAAAGTCAAACATATTCTCCTGTATTTCCGAGAGGTAAAAAGGTTCCTGGATTTCATGTCTTCCCAAAATCACTGTTTGGAATACTCCTCCTCTATCAATGTTTGATTTTAGCTGTAATTTCCTTACCACGTGTATATGAGAAATATCTACAAGATATAAAGAACCATACATTTCCTATTCATTACACTGCATGAATAAATGTTTCACATTGAATATGTGATATTAAACAAAAGTAACACTTTTATCAAACAGAGTTACGAAATTTTTCAACCATGGTGTTAAATTTTTGAAGAACAGTAAAGAATAGGATTCTTCACTACAGAAAGAGTGATTACACCTAATTCAAATTAAGTTCAGCGTAGCATCGTTTCAACCACTGTGACAAAAACATTCAAATGGAAAAACTTACATTAGCTCTCAAAAAAGGGTATTTTCCACGGTGACCACAAAGCACATACCAACTAACAGTAAACACACAAATACCATAAGTTTAAAAAGGAAATCTTAAGGGAGATGCAAGAAGTGAGCTATGTAACTAATACTATTATTCAAGCATCCCTGCTGGAAATGGTTTCTGAGTCATCACAGCTGCACATATTGATTTAGGTCATCTACTGAAAAAGTTTTTCAATGGATAAAAGGGAACCATTTTTACAGTGTGAGCAATGAGGAAGGTGGAGGGATGGATGATGAAGTGCTGCAGAAACTGGGGAGATCAAGAGAACAACTTAAATACATGACCAACGACAGTGATTCTATCCACATCAAGAGACAATGTAAATGGACTTCCCTGGCGGTCCAGTGGTTAAGACTATGTGCTTCCAAAGCAGGGGGTGCAGGTTCCATCTCAGGTCAGGGAACTAAGATCCCACATGCTACGGGGTGTGGCAATAAATAGATAGATAGATAGATAGATAAATAAATAATACAATACAATACAAAAAGAGAGACAGAGAGAGACCATGTAAAGAAAGACCAGGACTGATAACAGGACTGAGTGGAGGAGAGGGAATAATAAACCTGGGGTATCATAGCTTGTGATTGCATATATGTGTGAATAAAACTGTATGAGGCAACTAAAAATAATGTGGTTAAAAGAAAAGAAGAGGGGCTTCCCTGGTGGCGCAGGGGTTGGGAGTCCGCCTGCCGATGCAGGGGACGCGGGTTTGTGCCCCAGTCCGGGAAGATCCCACATGCAGTGGAGCAGCTGGGCCCGTGAGCCATGGCCGCTGAGCCTGCGCGTCCGGAGCCTGTGCTCCGCAACGGGAGAGGCCACAACAGTGAGAGGCCCGCGTACCGCAAAAAAAAAAAAAGAAGAAGAAAAGAAGAGGACTTCCCTGGTGGTGCAGTGGTTAAGAATCCACCTGCCAATTGAGGGGACACGGGTTCGAGCCCTGGTCCAGGAAGATCCTGCATGCTGCGAACCAACTAAGCCCGTGTGCCACAACTACTGAGACTGTGCTCTAGAGCCCGTGAGCCCCAGCTACTGAGCCCACATGACACAACTACTGAAGCCCACATGCCTAGAGCCCATGCTCCTCAACAAGAGAAGCCACTGCAATGAGAGAAAGCCCGCACGCTGCAATGAAGACCCAATGCAGCCAAAACTAACTAAATAAATAAATTTACAAAAAGAAAAAAATTAAACTAAATTTTAAAAATTAATTAAGGAAAAAAAAGAGAAAAGAATTGGCCCAGCAAGTAACACAATACTATTCCTTGTTTTTTGGCCATGCCATGCAGCTTGCTGGATTCTTAGTTTCCCAAAAAGGGATCAAACCTGAGCCCACAGCAGTGAAAAGAGCTGAGACCTAACCACTGGACCACCAGGGATTTCCCAGTACGATTCCATTTATAACTGTGGAAATCATACTCTGGGTATGGGGCCAAAACAAAAGGGATGTAAAAAGAGAGAGAATGGGACACTGAAGCAATATAGCAGGTTTACATTTATTACATTATTTGCTACATAAGGTATCAAATTGAATATTCCATAGGCCCCATTTCTATGCATATAATCACAAAGTACATACATAATATCCCAGGAGATGTGAAAGAATGTTTTAGCCGAAACCTAAAGGAAAAACTACAATAAGGCCATCAAAAAGAGAGTTTCTTCCATATAAAAACATACAGATACAAAGAAACTGAAAAGTATAAAAGCTCCCCAGAATACTGTAAAAAGAACAAAACTATAATATAATGCAGCAATTACATTATTGGGAATATATCAAACAAAATGAAATCACTGTCTTAAAAGATACCTACACTTTGGGCTTCCCTGGTGCCGCAGTGGTTAAGAATCCGCCTGCCAATGCCCGAAAAACGGGTTCAAGCCCTGGTCTGGGAAGATCCCATATGCCGTGGAGCAACTAAGCCCATGCGCCGCAACTACCGAGCCTGCACTCTACAGCCCACCAGCCACAACTACTGAAGCCTGCGCACCTAGAAACCGTGCTCCGCAACAAGAGAAGCCACCGCAATGAGAAGCCCGCACACCACAAGGAAGAGTAGCCCCCGCTCGCCACAACTAGAGAAAGCCCACGTGCAGCAACAAAGACCCAATGCAGCCAAAAATAAATAAATTAAATAAATAAATTTATTTAAAAAAAAAAAAGATACCTGCACTCCCACATTCATAACAGCAGTAATCACAATTGCCCAGGCATTGAAACAACCTAACTGTCCAACGGATGGGGGACAAATCTGGGAGATACACAGAATGCAATTTCATTTATACATAAAGAAGAAAAAAATCCTACTATTTTTAACAGCACAGATGGACAATGAGGATATATACTCAGTAAAATTATTCAGAGAAAGAATAAAACTGAATGATCCCATTTATGTGCAAAATATATTTTTTAAAAAAGAGGCATGCTGGGACTTCCCTGGTGGTCCAGTGGTTAAGAATTCGCCTTCCATTGCAAGGGACGCAGGTTCGCTCCCTGGTCGGGGAACTAAGATCTCACATGCCAAAAGGCAAATAAGCCCAAGTGCTGCCTCAACTGAGCCCGCGAGCTCTGGAGCCCGCCCGTCACAACTAGAGAAGCCTGAGCGCCACAATGAAGACCCAGTGCAGCCAACAAAAAAATAAATACATAAATAAAAATAAAGTAAAATTAAAAAAAGAGGCATACTAAGAGCAACTTAAAGTAGAACAGCTGTTACCAAACTCCGGTAGCAGAATGTGGAGATATTAGTCAAAGGAGTAAATGGCTGAGGTAGCAAAACAAGCAGACAGGGCTTGAGACAGCTCCTTGCAGGTTCTGAGGTGCCAGATGGAATGAAAGAGCAGCCAGTGTTTTCCCATCTTCTGATTAGGTCTTCAAAGAACACAAGATGGGGGTGGAACCCAGAAAGGCTCAGGGGCTGGAGTCTGGAGGCATCAGCTCTGATCTATAGAGACTGAGAACTGAGCATCCAAGGGAATCAAGTCCAAAAGGAGAGCTGAGGGAGCAACAGACCCCTTTAAAACAACCCTGTTGGGGCTTCTCTGGTGGCGCAGGGGACACGGGTTCATGCCCCGGTCCGGGAGAATCCCACATGCTGCAGAGCGGCTGGGCCCGTGAGCCATGGCCGCTGAGCCTGCGCGTCCGGAGCCTGTGCTACGCAATGGGAGAGGCCACAACAGTGAGAGGCCCGCGTACCGCAAAAAAACAAAACGAAACAAAAAACGCTGTTCACGCTCCTCAAAATCAAGCAGCAACAAGTTCACGGGGCCACATAGCCGAGGGCAGCAGATCATGATAAAGACTGCCTTTGTCTTTGGTGGAACTCCCGCACCACTGGAGGGGGAAAGAATACATTTTACATGTTGAGGGACCGAGTGATAACTAAGGAAGAAGAAAAATTTCCTCTCAGACTTGACAACGAATAGATTTCTGTTTTCGCAAACAACTCTCCCATTTGGTAGAGTTTCCCAAACACTACTAATGCTGCGGTGGGTCTGGAAACATATTTCACAAACTCATCCACCGCTTGCCTCCTTCTCAATGCAGAGGGAACGATGAAATATGCAGACATCTAACTCTTTTCCAGTAGGTACTGAATCAAAAGCACAGAGGTAGAGCACAGGGAATGAAATATTTTAAAAGTTTCCGCTTGGGCATTAGACACACTTAATCACTTAAAAAACTCCTGGTGTACCACAAAGTGGCCAGATCATCTGAAGAAAGGGCATGTTTAAACTCCTGATGCTAAGTCAAGAAGCTTTTCATGCCTCAGTCAACGTGGCTTTGAGCTCAGTTAAGCAAGGCAGGGGATTCCAAAAGGCAAACCAGGGAACATGCAAAGATACCCTCCTGACTTTTGGAGGTAAGTTATCCTCACCCACAGAGATCAGGTTCCTGTAGGTCTCCAACATCACATCCCTGTACAAGGCCCTCTGAGCAGGGTCCAGGCATTCCCACTCTTCTGGAGAGAATTCGATGGCCACATCATTCAATGTCAACTGTCCCTTAAATAAAAAAACATTTCACCAAGAGGACGTGAGGAGAGTTCTTATTTCCATACAAAATGAGTAGAGGTAAAAGATCAATTAGGTTGAAGTACGTATTCTGACAGATCCATGGAAAGGTATTTGAAGCTAACTGGGTGTGTATTTTGATTTCTTATGCTTTGTCATAGAGATTACAATATCCTTCAAATCGATTTACCCTTCTCATTCTTGTGGGCAATACATAAAATATATGCAAATAAAAATTCAACACCGTGTTGTCCATGTGGAAGTGTTAGATATTACGTTCTATACACTGAGGGATAATCATCCTTCTGGAGGTGGAGGAACATGAGTGGTGTCTTCAGAGACGACAGAGTCCACAGTGGCTCTATAAAGAAAGCTCAAGACCTCCAATTATGATGATGATAACAGCAGCAAAGAGGAACATTATGGGCTTCCCTGGTGGCGCAGTGGTTGGGAGTCCACCTGCCGATGCAGGGGACGCGGGTTCGTGCCCCAGTCTGGGAAGATCCCATATGCCGCGGAGCGGCTGGGCCCGTGAGCCATGGCCGCTGAGCCTGCGTGTCCGGAGCCTGTGCTCCGCGGCGGGAGAGGCCACAGCAGTGAGAGGCCTGCGTACAGCAAAAGAAAAAAAAAAAAAAGAGGAACATTATATGAACACTTCCTATATGCTATGCATTACTCTAAATGTTTTACTCTAAATGTTGTTAGCAACATCAACGCTCATTAAAGAAAGATCTTTTCCCAACTTACAGAGGAGAAAACTGTGTCAGAGACACTGAAAAACTCGACTGAGTTCAGCAATCTAAGGAATCATACACTAAGCACATGAACTTGGTTGGGCTACACCATGGTTGGGCTCTGGAACTGAAGCTTAAAAATCAAAGAGTTAAGTAACACATAGAACATTAAAATTTCATTGACAGACGATTACCTGAGAAAACTTTAAAGAAGTTCAAGGTAAACAACATGGAACAGCCTAAAAGTTCATTATATACGTGTACACGTACACATACACACAAAATGTTAGTAATCTTATTACTAACTAATAATGTAGAAAAAATTCAAGGCCAGGGAATATATTAAAGATATAATATGAATTGCAAAAAGATATCTATAGATTTAAAATCATGATGTCTTTTATCTAAACCATGGACTTGCACATCCATGCACATATGCACACATGTCAACGATAAATTAACTGAAACGAGAGTGGTCTCCTGACAGATTTTCAGACTATTTTTTCATTATCATATTTATTCACGTGTATTTCAGGATATTTCTTATAGAAATGAAAATGTACAAACTGTATTAAACTGAGTTTCTCAACATGATTCTATAGTAGGCTACTAAAAAAGAAAATAATACAGACATTAAAAAAAAACTTTAAGAATACTTTAACTCCAATTTCAATAACTATATTCAAAAATATAAATCTGTCCTTTTGAATTTATACAGATAGGCATTAACAAAAGCCAAAAAGGGTTTCTCTGTTTTTCCACTAATAAAACATTGATTCAAAATTAGAAAAAAAATTTTTTAAATTAGAAAAGTTATTACTACTATACATTATTTTAACAGATTAAGAATAAAATTGTCACAATGGTAAAGTAAAAAGTTTCTTGGAGAATTATAAAACATAACAAAAAAGAATATGGAAAAAATATATTGTTATTAAGAAAGAACATTTCACCAATGTCATGATCAGAAGGAAAGGGTCGATGCATTCCCTCTGACGTTACAGTGGAGTGAAGGGGGCTGGCCAGGTCTCCTGCCTTTCACCACTGTACAGTGTGCCTGAGCAGGGACCACTAGAGGAAGTAAGAGGAGGAAAACAGAGAGCTAGAGTGAAAGACAAATCTAAGGACAGGAAAGGCAAACAGCAAAAGGAAGGAAAAAGACATTCTATCCCACAGACAGCAAAAGTAAACAGAAAAACTGACAGAAGAGACGAAGGACATTACGTAATCATAAAAGGGTCAATTCTCCAAGAAGATATAACAATTATAAACACGTACTGAGGGAAGGCACTAGGTAAGGATGAAGGCATAGGTGTCAGGAACAACACCTCAGAGTCAGAGAGGATTAGCGTGTCCAAAGAAGGGAATTTCAGGATGGATACACTGAAGAATCAACTGAGAACATGACTTCACCTGAGAAAGAGCCATTTCTTACTCCTTCTCTCTCCTCTTCCTCCTCTTCAGGGCTTCTTCCTCAGACCATGTGAGGCTTTAGAGGTCGATCTTCAAAGTTGGAAACAGGCTGTTTAATGCTTAGAATCAACACACCCCCTTCCTGAGTCACCACCACACACACAGGGAAGCCCTCAGCATGGGGAACAGACGGTCCTCTGCTGCCCACTGTCCCAGGAGGGGCTCAGGACAGTAATTCCCACACAGAGACCAACCAGTGAGTTTTCCCACCCTTTCCTTCAGATCAGGCTCCCCTCCAGGTGAGGCCCTCACGTACCCAGCAGCAGCGAGCACCTCAGCTGGACCCGACGATCCCCTGCAGGTCACAGACCAGCCCTGATCCATCCCCACACAGAGCAGAGCCCTCACCCTCAGCCCAGATCTCAGCCCTCAGGAACAGGGGGACTCAGAGTCCTGATGTTCAGTGACGGATCCAGATTGGAACATCCTGGGGAACCTTAAGTATTATTCATGTTGGGCCCCATCCCAGCTCCTTTAAAAGGCATCTCTGGTCAGGGGGTATAAAACATATGAAGATGCCTTACTCAAATCAATGTGAAGCCTGGGCTGAGCACCACCTAGAGGAGGTGAGCCCAGCACACCTCACGCTTTCTTTTTCTTTTCAAGCACTACTGAGGTATAACTGATGAATAAAAATGGTGTACATATAGGCTGTACAACGTGGTTATTTGGCAGATGTACACGATGTACAATAATTATCAGCATCAAGTAATTTACACTTCCATTAACTCACAGTTACCATTTTGTGCCTGTGTAGTGAGAACACTAAAATTTTACTCCCTCAACAATTCTCCAGTATATAGTAACACACTATGATCAACTATAGTCAGCATGGTACACACAGATCCCCAGAACCTACTCATTCTACAAATGACAGTTTCTAACCCTTGGGCAACATCGCCCCATTTTCTCCACCACCCAGCCCCTGGTAACAACCTTTCTACTCTAGAGCTCTATGAGTTTTACATTTCTAGTTTCCACACAGAATTTACCTTTTTCTGTCAGGCTTATTTCAGTGAGCATATTCATTCTAGGTTCATTCATTTTGTCACAAATGATAGGCTCCTTCATTTTTATGGCTGAATTTTGTGTGTGTGTATATACATACATACATAGATATATATTTATATATAAAATCTCTTCATTATTCATTCGTCAACATTATGGTTCTTTCTACAACTTGGCTGTTGCGAATAATGCATTAATGCTCATTGGCGGCAGACATTTCACTCAATATACTGATTTCATTTCCTTTGGATATCGAGCCAGAGATGGGTTTGACAGATTGTGTCTGTTCTACATTAAATTTACTGAGAAACCACCATACTGTTTTCCATAATAGCCATATCATTTACATTCCCATCAACAGGGCATTAAGTGTGCTCTGTTCTCTGTATTGGGCCTGTGTGTGTATATGTGTGTGTCTGTGTGTTGAGACAGATAAAGAGAGGATAGTACAGAAACAAGCATGAGCCTGGCAGCAAGAAAGTTAACAGTTATTTCTTCCCAAGGATGAGCCTCTAGACTTTAGATCGCTGTGGCGTTGGGGCCCTTTGATTCTTGAAACAATCTTTCCAAACATGACAGGACTTTATGGTCCGTGCTAGACACATACCTAGCAGAAGCTCCCTGCTCAAAATATTCTGCCATCTGACATAGAACTCATAATTTCCCATATGGACACAAATAAACTAACAAACTCTTATGGGGTCCAACACAGTCTCCAGACCCTCTCTTAGTGATCCTCATATAAAATACCAAATAACAAACCAAGCTCTTCAAAACTCATGCATCAGGAAAAAACACAGATGGAGACACCCAAGGATCAGTGGACCCAAAACCCCATACTTTCATTTACAATGATTCCAGCACAAACACTGTCGTCTCCAAAACCTACCAATTAAAAAGATGTCTCCAATGATACACATGCCTCAGTGAGACCCCAACATGCCCAATGAAGTGCTCTCTTTTGTATCTTTCATAGTGCATCTGAAATATTCTTCACTCACAACCCAAAATGCTCAAAAATAGCAAAGGTAATGCGAAAAATGATCTCTGAGACTTTCCCTGTATTACTTGGAGGTTTACACGACGATTCTTGCCCTCCCAAAAAAGCCAACACAAGTCACTGCTTAGAGTGGATTCTACAGGGCACCCTGTAGATCCATTCCTGCGGTACCACGGCAGCCACCCTCCTGTACCCAGAGCTCCCTATGGGTATATCTCAGGCCACAGCTCTAACAATACTGGGGGAAAATGGTTCTCTCTTTCTAAATCCACTGTCTTCATTCCTCCTCAGGAATGAAGGTGTGACCCAATGTAACCAATACATGCAAGCCTCAGTCTCAGCATCTATGTTACAGGGAAGCTGAGCTAGGCGCCTACGGCACCTCAAACCCACAACCACCCATAAACCCGTGTCCTGATGCTCCAGACAGAATTAAGACATCCCTTGCCAACACTTCCCCACATCCCTTGATTCCACAAGGGACAGGTGCACACATTCACTGGGCTCAACTTGATGCCCACACCTGCGGCCATATCCCTCGTGCAGACCCATACAGGCTCTGCTTCACTTCCCCGACTTCTCTATCTCTCCTCCAGGCGAACAAGAGGAAACGTGACTTCTCTATCTCTCCTCCAGGCGAACAAGAGGAAACGTGATAAAGGGCACAAAGACCTCTCAGCAAAGATATTGCAACAAGAACACAGAAGCTCCCGCCCAAAGGACTCTGGGCGTTCAGTATGAAGGTCAAAAAGCTGGCCCTCTGGAGAATACTTGCTAGCAACTAGGGACGTTACGGAGTCCAGTTACACAGGCATTTGAGTTCAGTGAGACAGTTACAAAGAGAGAGCATCCCTAAGTTTCTTGTCTCCTGTTCTCCCTACTCACATCGAATTGGAAAATACAGTCCCTATTTAGGGCACTCTCCTTCATATCCCCTTAGGTTCTGGACCTTCTGCCCCCCCCTTAGCACAGTGAAATCACTACCGCTGACTCTGAGCAAGTGAACTGCTGGAAGGCAAAGCACCTGTCAAGGTGGCGACTGGTCCCTGGATGTGCACACCTGGAACACCTGTAGCTACAGCAGAGCAGTAACGCAGCAGAATAAACGTGAGGACACCTGACACCACTGCAGGAGGAAACCAGTTGTACAGGGCTTCTTAGGCCTCCCTACATCTTTTTGCTCTGGAGTAATTAAGTAGGCACACAAGGTAAAGATCAATAAGCGCTGAAATACCCAGAACAAATATGGGAACCACCCTCATCACCTACCCTGTTACCTTCGTATTCCCTGAGGAGTACTCAGCCCAATGGAAATTCCTAGCATCTGAAAACATCCCACGAGTGAGGCGTTGCAGTGACCCTGGGAAAAAGATGAATACTGTGTCCTTCGGTGGAGGTTAAGGACAAGAGACTCAAAATAATCAATGGAGAAGTGCGTTTCTGTTGAGGGTGACTGATATTGAGGCAATAAAATCTGGTTAATGTCGCAGAGATTGTCAGGGGGTGGATGGGGAGCCATCTCTGAACTAAGACCTGAAGGAGGGTGTATGGCCAGAATCATGCTGATTTAAAAGAAAAAGGTAAGAGGAGCAACTAAGATCTGAAACATGAAAGGTATTGGTGTGAGAGAGAAAAGGTAATGTGACCAGGACAGAGTGAACCATGAGAACAGGGTCAGCTCCCAGGATGAGGCTGGAGACGCCGGCTGGGCCCTGAGGATGATACAGGTCTGTGTAGCTACAGGAAGGAAACTGGATTTTGTCCCGAGGACAAATAAAACCCTAGCATTTTTGCTTTTCATTCTGGGATGACTGGGAACCGTGAAAAATTCTAAATAACACAGGACACTCTCACTAGAAAGAATTCCCACACACAAACACACAATTTGGCCAAACACTTCAGGAGTCAATATTCCTCAGACTCACAGTTTCTGAGTCTAGCCTCTCATCTCCATATTACAGGTGGGCTCCCTGAGGAAGCCCAGAGGGGAGACATGTCTGAGGAAGCCCAGGTTGAATCCAGAGAATCAGGTAGAACTAAAGTCTGAAATGGGATCCTGAAGGGCCAGTGGGCAGACTTTGTCCTCATCGCCTGTCGAATTTAAAACACCAGGACCAACCGTCACGTTCCTGACCAAAGGAAGCTTCTCTTTCAAGGTCTGATCAATTCAATTGAGTATTCAATTCTTCTTTCCAGAAGATCTCAGGAAAATATTTAAACATGCAGATTTGCAAAAATACAGCTACTGGTGAAGAAAACATTGTAAGGGGTCAGCTGAAAAATAAACTGTGAACTAACTTTTTCATCATGAATAGATGGCTCTGTTGGAGGAAGGTTCCAAGTCAATCCAACCCATCCTTCATCATTTGAAGGATGAACACTAAAGAGGGACCTGAGTGAAACATCTTCCTGTCACCTCACAGCTATTTTAACACACCAAATAAAAGAGAAAAAAGACAAATATTAGACTAACTGGTTAAATTAGGTTTTGACTGTTAATGTAAAAGACCAATGACCTCTTTACCAAATACTCATCAAAATAGTCTAAAATTATTTACTAGTTATCAAAGAAGTTTTCCAATACATAAGATGAAAAGGAAAAGCACTCAGGCCTCATAGAAACCTGAATCAATAAAAAGAAATAATTTGTGAATTATTTTTAATCTAAAAATGCTGGTGTCGAAGTCTTTCAAAAATTGAGGATTTACCTTATTTAGAAAAGAATGACATGAGTAGACTACCTAAGGGAACCAAACTTATTCCAGAAGTTAATAATTACCCACAGGAAAGTAGAAATTGAATGCACTAAGATTTATTCCAAGCTACACAAAGAATTAAATGTAAAGAAACCAGAAAGAAAGAAAGAAAATTCATTACAGAAACCAAAACTTTTAATGTTCCTTTAAAGAGGCACCATGTGGTGACAAAGCTAGTCATTTCTTGTGCCACTAGTCTCTCTCCTCTCCTCTACCTCATGCCAGGAAAATGGAAGGGGGTGACCCACAACTGTCTGAGTCAAGTCACTGTGCCTTGGCCGAACAGGAACTGCAAATGGAAGTTATCTTCTCTTACAAATACTTACAAAATACACAAACCTTTCACTTCTTGCACTTCCCATCCTCATCTGTCTAATTGAAGCAAATAAATTTTAATTCATTAGATTCTAAAGCTACAAATCAACATTATCACAACATAATCATCCGTATCCAAACAACTCACCACCCATCTGGACCCAGTTTCTCACCTCTACCTGCACCACTATGTGTTTCCACTTCACTCTGTTTAGCTGTCTCCTATTTCACCTGTCTTTTTGTTCCCCTCTACACGCCTGCTGTTTCTCCCCTCCTAGTTCTCCCTCACCCTTGTCCTGCGACTTCTTGCTGCTTTCTCCCCAACCTTTATGATTGTCCTAAATATCCATGTATGTCTCCATCTTTTTCCCAAACTCAGCTCCCTCTCCGATCTCCAGATTACATCCTTTCTGTAACTGCTACAATGCCTTAGTCTGCACTCTCTGGCACCCCAGGTGGCTATGCCTCCTTCCTGCTTTCTCTCTCCTGCTCTTCTAGTCACTAGTTTTCCTCTCTTTCTCTCCCAGCACCACGGTTCTCTGAAGGGCACGGTTGCAACTCTTTCGCTCTCCGCCCACTCCCTGTGTGAAGTGCCTCCCTCCTACCGGTGATACAAGGCCCCTCCCTATGTTACTATCCCATCGGTTCTCTCTCATTCTTTCCTCCTTCTCAGTTTTTCTGCTTCTCTCCCAGTCGCTCGGTCTCTGCTTCTCCTGATCCCCCTCGCCCACGAATTTACAAGGATGAGGGATGGTGACTGAATAAGATGCCACCCTACCGGAAGAGACTATTTTCCAGCAGGGTGGAACCTGGGGACAGACATACACTGGGTGTCACAGGGCTGGCCCAGGTCACCTCTCCCTACGCGGGGTGAAAGGAAGAGCTGACTAGGAAGGAGAGGCCTGCGGAGCAGAAGCACCGGCCTGAGGAGACGCGAGGACAGAGGGGCTGGGAGGGAGGGAGGGGGTCTCCGGAGAGGGGCGGGCTCTCCAGAACCCCAGGACCGGGGAGAAGACGCGGCCTCTCCGGGAGCGCGGCGGCCGGCGCTGCCCTCCAGGGGCCGAGAGGGCCAGGCTGGGGGCGCGAATCCACCTCGCGGAAGAGGACTTTACACTGCGAGGGCGAGACATTAACAGGTTTGAAGCAGGGAAATGTTGCGAAAGGCGGTGTCTACGTGGACAAGGTAAAAAAGCCAAGGTCAGGGACCAGCCTCAGAGCGAATTCAAACCCAAAGGAAAAAACACCCGTCCTGTGACCGCGACGTCTGGATTTACTTGGCGTGGAGGGCCGGCTGCTGTGATTTTACCTCCATAGTGACTGCGAGACCCCGAGGATGGAGTAAGGGGGACCGCGCGGCACATATACACTACAAAGCGAAAACTTACGGTCAGCCGCACGACGTTTACCTCGAGCTCACCGGGTCTGCTTCCGTAGGAAACCGCAGACACGCAGAGAGAAGAGGCGGGGCTTCCGGGGCGGGGCCTGGGCGGAGCGCTACGTGCGAGGGGCGGGGCGGGGAGAGTGCAGGTCTGCGAAGTGAGCGCGGGAGTGCGGCGCAGGGGCCGAGGTTCCTCTACCTTGACCTGTTTAGTTAACCGTCCATAATACTTTTAAGGTAAAAGCGTACAATTGTATGGGCCGGTTTTGCAAAAACTAAGAAGATTCCTCGTAAGTTAAAAACAGATTAAATAAAAAGCTTTTTTTTTGGCCAACAGATTTCTCGCACGTCCCGCTAGTGAGGCTGAAGCAATTCAGAGCTCTGGAAATTTGGGTCTCCAAGTGGTAGCTGTGGGGCGGTGATTGGAGCCTGGAACATTTGCTGCAGTTACAATTAATATAAGCACTTTAAGGAAATAAAAACTGGATTTTTCTTTGTATTACAAATGAAAATGTGCATTAAAAAAAGAACTCTAGCTATGTAGAATGGTTATTTCATACTGAAACCCTAAAGAACGGATATTCCGACCTTCCAGCCTCCGCGGCCGCCTTGGAGCCCCTGAAAAAGCTTGTGGCAAAGGGGGGCAATTAAAAAACCAAAAGAAGCAGGTCCGGAAGTTTACTCTTGACTGTACCCATCCTGTACAAGATGGAATCATGGATGCTGCCAATTTTGAGCAGGTTCTTCAGGAGAGAATCAAACTGAATGGAAAAGCTGGGAATCTTAGTGGAGGCGTTGTAACAATCAAAAGCAAAAGCAAGGTTACCGCAACTTCTGAGGTGTCTTTTTCCAAAAGGTATCTGAAATATCTCACCAAAAAATATCTGAAGAAGACTAATCTCCGAGATTGGTTACGTACGTTAGGTAGGTGCTATCACCAAAGAAAGTTACAAATTGCATTACTTCCAGATTAATCAAGATGAAGAAGAGGGCTTCCCTGGTGGCGCAGTGGTTGAGTCCGCCTGCTGATGCAGGGGACACGGGTTCGTGCCCCGGTCCGGGAAGATTCTACATGCTGGAGAACAACTAAGCTTATGTGCCACGACTATTGAGCCTGCGCTCTAGACCCCATGAGCTACAGCTAAGGAAGCCCATGGGCTCTAGAGCCCGCGTAACGCAACTACTAAGCCCACGTGCTGCAACTACTGAAGGCTGCACACCTAGAGCCCATGCTCCACAAGAGAAGCCACCGCAATGAGAAGCTGGTACACTGCGACAAACAGTAGCCCACGCTCTCCACAACTAGAGAAAGCCCATGCACAGCAAAGAAGACGCAACGCAGCCAAAAATAAAAAAATAATTTAAAAAATAAAATAAAGGGCACTAAAATGAGGTATGCCTGTATAGATGTTATAGAACATTATCATAACCACAATTATATTTGCAGTTAAGTCATTTAAAAGAGTCAACAGATACTAACAAATTAAGTACAGATGTTGAGTTATGGAAGGATAGAAATAATTAGTCTTGTTAGTGTAGCAACATAATTAAGCAATTTGTCACTGAAACCAGACAACCTGGATTCAATTCCCGATTCTGTCACTTGCTGGGATGCAAATGAATGGGTCTAAATCTGTGTTTGTCCTAAAATCCTTCATTTGTGAAATGAGAATAAATATTAGTGCTTTTCTGAGAGATGAAAATTTAGTAAGTTATTAGGCATAAACCCTTAATAACAATAACTCTTACCTGAAGTGGGATAATGACGAAATATAATATAAATCAGACTGAAGATCGCCTTTCCAAAGAAAATATTTTCTTTTTGCCCAGGATCAAGTTCTAAGTGGAGGATATTGGGTGTCAGTTGTCATGCTATATATACGTAGCACAAATCTTATTTTCTCTGCAAAATGTAATGGCCCTGAATGTGAATACCATCCGTTGAGAAGTGGCAGAATGGCTTCCAGGCATTTTGGCAATGGAGACTGTCTCATTGTCACAAACTATACTTGGAATTGTGGGGTCTTTCTATCTTATTCATCCTTATAATCTCATTCAGTTCACTGCATCCTTGTTCATTTCCACAATCTTGATTTTCAAGCACTTTACCATACCAATTCCCAAATTAAAACATTTCATCTCACCATCTCCCCATTCTAGTTCTTTCATTAAATTGATCGCCTAGAGGAATGCTCTTTTATCATGTTTACAGTGCACCTACTTTATATAACTCACTGAGTTATGTACGTATTCATGTCACAAGAATCGGAAAACAACTCACTGATTTATACATCCCTTGTTGTAAAAATGGAAGATGTGGATTAACTGGTGGCGCAGAGGTTAAGAATCCGCCTGCCAGTGCAGGGGCCACGGCTTTGATCCCTGCTCCGGGAAGATCCCACATGTAGCGGAGCAACAAAGCCCAGGTGCCAAAACTACTGAGCCTGCACTCTAGAGCCCATGAACCACAACTACTGAAGCCTGCAAGCCTAGAGCCCGTGCTCCGCAACAAGAGAAGCCACCGCAATGAGAAGCCCGCGCACCGCAACGAAGAGTAGCCCCCCCCACCCCGCTCACCGCAACTAGGGGAAGCCCGCGCACAGCAACAAAGACCCAACGCAGCCAAAAATAAATAAATTTAGTTTTCAAAAAAGCAATACATTTTTAAAAAATGGAATATGTCTGGAAAGAAAAAATAATGCTAAGGAAAAAGTGTATTTTAAAAAACACAACAGTTACTCAGGCATAAAAAGAAACGAAATTGAGTTATTTGTAGTGAGGTTGGACCTAGAGTCTGTCATACAGACTGAAGTAAGTCAGAAAGAGAAATACAAATACCGTATGCTAACACATATATATGGAATCTAAAAAAAAAAAAAAAATGGTTATGAAGAACCTAGGGGCAGGACGGGAATAAAGACGCAGACCTACTAGAGAATGGACTTGAGGACACGGGGCCGGGGGAAGGGTAAGCTGGGACAAAGTGAGA